CGTATCAGGATCTTATTCGTGATGTGCTCTAATCGCGTCGGCTCGCAAAATGTTCAGTAAATATATAGAAAAGGGTACACCTCACCGATTGGTTTTCATTTTGAAATATGTTGTAAAGGATGAAATTCTGAGTGACTTTTCCTAATACAATTATACGCGGGGGTCGTTTATACTTTCTGAGATACTTGACTTTAAAGTTTTATAATTGTACGTTGAAGTATATCTGAAGTAGACAAGCATTTTTCATTCACTTTAAATATAGGAAACAGTACATATAAGCGGGGGGGGGGGGGCTCCGTCCCTCCCCAAACAAATTCTAACCTAACTTATTACATCTTTATATATTTTTGGACATTGTTGAAAAAAGTTCTCTCTTAAGATCTATCACCTGGCTCAACTTAATTTATTATAATATCTGCATATAATTAGGTGTTGTGGCTTTTAAGGATTAACTGTTTGGATTGTACTGTAAATAACGTCAGCTTATAATATCTGGAATTTAATTCCAGGATAATCAAAATTCCAAAACTTAAAAATCAAATCATCTCGGAAACTATAAGCGACCCCCATATAGTTGTATCAGGAAGTCATTCAGAATTTCATCCTTTCTTAACATGTTTCAAAATGAAGAAAACCGGTGAGGTGTACCCCTTTCTATATATATTTACCTCTACTTCAAATATACTTCAACGTACAATTATATAAAGCTTTAAAGTCAAATATCTCAGAAACTATAAGCGACCCCCGTATAATTGTATCAGGAAAAGTCACTCAGAATTTCATCCTTTATAACATACTTCAAAATGGAAGAAAAAGTCGATGAAGTGTACCCTTTTCCATATATTTACCAAATGTTTCACGCGTGCTCGTCGTGCATTGCAGGAAAAGCGCTCACTGTCGCGAGCGCTACTGACACCCGGCGAAACGCCAAAAGGAGGAGGAGGAGGACGAGCATCCACTCGCACTCTGACCTCGCAGGCTCGTTTCCACAAGACGGTATCGTACGCGCGGGCCGGAATAAAGTGCGCGACATCGCAGGGGCGACAGAGCCGATATAATCCGATTTTACGACGAGGCCCCGGCGTGTGTGGAGAGAGAGAGAGAGAGAGAGAGAGAGAGAGAGAGAGAGAGAGAGAGAGAGAGAGAGAGAGAGAGAGAGAAAGGGGGGGAGGAGGAGATGGTATCGGGCCCCGCGTGGCCAGGTCCCAGGCGATATAAACTTAGACGCGAATTAGTGGTGTCGCGATAGCATCTCATTTCGTGGCGCGAGCGTGCGATCGGGAATTTATCGAGAAATTAAATTAGGAATTATGCTAATACACCCAGCGCCCTATATAGACGGCACCTCACCGAAGTCGACCGCCGTGAATGAGCGGCGGCGCGGTTTCCCCGCGCTTTATTTATGCGTTATTTGCGCCGCCCAATTAAAAGCGCCTCTCATAAGTGCGGCGCACGACGCAATTTGCTGACGCGACGGCGGCTGCATCACGGCCGTGCTCCTCACCCCCCGCCCCCCGATTCCGTCCTCGGATTCGTGCGACTCGAATTCGAAAGAGCTGTACGGTTGATTCAGGCGGGGCATAAGTTGCGAGACAAATCGCTCCTCCGAGATGTACGAGAAGAGCGATGATAATAATAATTACTGAGATTACGCAATTATCGAGAACAGAGGGATGATAAATAGCGTGTAATGCGTGCAAACGAGATAGATTCGCCGCGGTTTAATTGCGGCTTTTCAATGACGTGTAACCAACCGTCGGCTCGAAGTCGTTGATCCCGATTTTATAGCACGGACAGGCGTGTCGGTTTTAGCGCGAGGTAGATAATGATCGGCGAAGGCGCGGCTGGTTTTATTAATCGGCGGGTTCGTAAATAAGATTTACTTCGAAATTCCGTGGCGGCCGGGCGAGATCGATTCGCCCGCTTTTCGTGAGACAACTTTTCGTGAGACTCGCGTGGAAGAACGTCCGCGCACAGATAGAATCTCTCTCTCTCTCTCTTCGCATTCCCGACATTTTTTATAACCCTTGACGCGCTGATCTCTCGTCGCGAGCGACGTGTCAGTACGAACGGAATGCGTAAAATCGGGAAAGTCTGCCTTGTCATTTTGATTTATCGCGCGAACATACGACGCGCGCGGTTAAAAAGCACTGCGTTCGGACGTTAGAGTTACCACTACTCCGTGAAATACTACTCCGTGTATATAATTATCGTATTCGCTAATATATTTCAACATAAATGTCCACCGCCGGTCTTCTTTTGTTTCATTTCTCTGGAATATTTTTATCTTGTTTTACGTCTTTTTTTCTTTTTTCTTTTTTATAACGGTTCTCAAAATATAAAATTTTGCTTTAGTTATTGCTCTATATCTATTGTATTATATTGTTGCGATACCGATTGCGACGTTCTTATTTAAAAAAAGGAAAAATAAACCAATTAACGATCACCAGTTAACATCATTGTGACGTGTGTGATTGTTATATACATTATATGCATCCTTTTTCCCGCGTGAGCTTTGCGATAAGAATCTCCCAGGACAAGAAAATACCTTATTAAATTTAGCGCATTGATGCTTATCGTTGTGAGGAACCGAAAGAAACAACGGAGAGAGGTGGAGTGATTTAAGAGACTCGCGCGAAGATACCGAGATGACAAATTGCACGGAGATAATTATTAATTATTTTCCTCGGAGTTGGATCGTCGAAGCTCGCGATGTGTTTAAAAAATCTACACACGCGCGCGTCTCGCATTCTCTCTCTCTCTCTTTCTCTCTTTCTCTTTCTCTCTCCCTCCTCGATTCCACGCGGTCGCCGAGATACGGGGGAGTGAACGAGTGAGGGAGAAAAAGAAAGAAAAACGTCGATCCCGGAGACGCGGAGTAGATGTCACGGAGAGACGTGGCTTCGAAATAAATGTCTCCTGCACGCGATGAGTCACAAATCCTAATGAAAATAATAATGCCCGAAAGATTCCGTTCTTTCGTGGTCGCGCGGTGCAACGCGGATAAATTTACTGCGCGATCTACGGACGGATAAGGCATACCTGGGGACACCTTCGTCCGGTTATAGGTTCCAGCATGTAACGGGTGGTACGAAAAAGATCAATACGATAGACTCGGCTCCACGTCGTTCGGTGGGTCTTATCTTTACGAGACAATGCAGAAACCGCTACGCCCCGACTAATTAGAAATGGCGTCTCTTTCTCGGACGGGAAGGGAAGGGGAGGAGAAGAAGCGGCCTGTCGAAACAAGTGTAACGTAGACGTGACTGTTGTAAACATCATCGATATGTAACCGGCGATGCCAAGAACGAAGACCGACCGACGCGAAGGATCTCGGTCCGCCGAGTCGCGTCGGGAATTTCGCGCGAGAACGCAAAACCTGGTGTGTCGATTAGTCGAGAATTCGAAGCATCTCCTGCGAATAATATCGCCGCCAAAGTGTGCATATAATTTCGGTGGGTCCAACCCAATTTCGGTGTTTCCGTTCCACCAAGAATCTCGTCGAGAGACTCTGTGTGTGTGTGTGTGTGTGTGTGTTGTGCGTGCGTCACAAGTACGCGTTCGCATCGCTTTCGAGCAGCTCCAGGTCTTTCCTCTACTTTGTCTGCTCTAGATTATACGTAATTGAAATGTCTCAGGACGCCCTTCCTCGGGGACGCGCGCACGTATCGCGACGGAAGCGTTGTCGATATCGAACTACCTCGTGTCCGAAGAAGCACCCACGACGGCCCGGATGCCGGATCCGCCGCTCCCTTATCACTCCGCCGGTTTCTCCCTCGTGCGCAAAGACCGGTTCTCGAAAACACCCCGTAGACAAGTGTCGCAGCACTTGCCTTGAACAGTGCGGTATCGTCGGCCTGGCGTCTAAACGACTTGTAAAACAAGCGCTTAACGATTGCTGGTACCTGGAGGAGATAGAGAAAGAGGGAAGGAAAGGTGGAAAAGGTAAAGAGCGAGCGAGCGAGCGCGCGCGTGAGGTGGACGAAGGGGGGCTCGATCGGGCCCGTGGGTCCCACGTGCTTCGAGGAGGTCCAGCCCGCTAAATTGAGTTTACGAGACGCCGGAGAGCGTCTCTCTCTCTCTCTCTCTCTCTCGCCTTCTCCTCTCTTTTATCCGTCTGTCTTTTTCCCCTCTTTTCTGCGCGCCTCTCTCTCTCTCTCTCTCTCTCTCTCTCTCTCTCTCTCTCAATCTTGAAAGCCTTACCCTACCTCTTTCCCTCCCCCCTCTCCCCCCTCTTCTTGCCCGCCCTCCGTGCGCGCTCGGTGCCCGCCCTTAATTCACAAGTACGGGAGAGGCAGGATATACCCTCTTCTCGGTACTTTACGCGCCGGTACTGGTATTATCTTAGACGATATTATTTCGATTCCCCGCCGCCTCGCCGATCGGCGTCGCCGGTTTATCGCGGGACGCTGCTTAACGCGACGCTCGCGCTTTGCACCGTTTGCGTGCGCCTGCCTCTCTGCCTGCGGATGCAATTAAATCGCGCCCCCGGGATGTCTTTATAATAGGATGACGAAGAGCGCGCGTCTAATGGGGGGAGGGGGGGTGGACGGGGGATCGACGAGCGGCGCGTATTAATATTCGCGTCGCTTTAATGACGCGAGTTAATGCGCACCAGGCGTTCCGGTGAGACGGAACTTCGTCTTGAGACAGTCGGACGTTTGACACTCGACGTCTCGAGGCTGTGAGCGTGCTTCTCAATCAATGCGTTCTTTCACTTCGCGATACTTCTTTCGCGTCGGGCCAACTATCGGGCTCCTCGGCAACGAAATTCGGCAACGAAGGAGGAGGGTGTGCGCTCGGCCAATGGCGAATGATAATAACGATGCGCAATTAGCATAACAATTTGTTCAGAACCGGCTGGCTTCCAGCTTTCCGCTTGTTTCGCGCGTTACGCGCGTGTAACGTAAATCTCCGGCGAAAGGAACGAGCGGGTGTGTGTCTCCGCTTTCTCTCTGCCCCTTTTTCTCTCAAGTGCGAACGTCGCTTGGCGGTTTCAGTGGCCAGAGGGAGGATAAGGCCCACGGCGGGGGTCTCGGGGACTCCAGCAGCGAGAGCGGCGACGAGACCAAGCGGCAGTCCAGCCAACAGCAGCAACAGCAGCAACAACAGCCACCGTCTTCCTGCGCTGTTCAACAGCAACAACAGCAGCAACAGATGGTGGACCACCAGCAAACCTCCGGCATGTACCAGCTTCCGCCTCCGGTCTCGGTGTCGAGTCCGCACTCGTATCACCAGGGTCACGGCTCGAGCCTGAGCCACCCGCACATGCAGCACCACGACACGAGCAGCGAAAGCGGCGACGATAAGAGGAACCTCCATCATCAGCTGCAGCATCATCTTCAGGTCGGCGCTCACGGCACCCACGGTCTGGTCCATCCCACCGCCACCTTACCACCACCACCGCCCAGTTGCGCCCAGCAGAAGAGTCAGTTGGATTACATGCAGTACTACAGTCCGCAGGTTAGACTACCTAGGTTTGACGAGTGTCTTTATTTCTCGACATCAGAGCTGTCCGCCATTTAATTTCATTTAATTCTTTTTGTCGTATTTCGATCGTGTAGAGACTACAAGATGAGACGTAGGGCTCTTTCGTGTCCTGTTGTTGTTGTGTTCCTTGAGAATGAGGAACCCCCATTGTCTATAGTTTCGGTTTACGATGACGGGCATGTGAGAAATTGCGTTGCGTTACGGGCGCGTAAAGATTCAAGGGTACGAAATCTTTAGAAAAAGGTACCCCACAGGCATCGAAAGAGGGAGAGAAAGCGAGCGGAAAAAATCTGAAAGTACCAACGACTGCTGCAGGCTCGCGCGCGATCTCGTTGAGGCGCGAAGAAAGGCGCACGAGCGCGAAAGCCCAACAAGCGCGCACATGTCTCTCTCTCTCCCTCGTACCGACAGACACGTCTGTGCCTTCTCGCGACACGTCGAGACAGATCGAAGGAGTACGAAGATCGGCATTTTCTGTCGCAGGACTACCTGATCGGCACGCCGACCTCCGCAGATCTGCAGAAGTCCTTGCCGCACACGGCGACGTCGATGCAGATGGGCGCGATCGCGCCGTCCATGGGCGGCTTGAGCCCGATGGGTCCGTCAACGATGCTGTCCAACACCATGCAGGGCGTCAACAGCATGAACACCATGTCGATGAACGGCATGGGCATGGGCGCTTACCAGAGCATGGGCTCGATGGGGATGTCCACGACGCACGCGACTTACCACAGCGGCCTCGTGCTGGGCGAGTACCATTCCTTGTGACCTTGGGCCCCAAGCACTCAGAGCAAGCGAAGCCAGGAGAAGACTTAATGGATGCATCCGGCGAGCGACGCGCGAGACCGATCGATCAAGGTACTCGAACGACTTGCTGGCCCGCGGATCGCCAAGGGAGCTTGTCGTCACCGAGTGGGGGAGAGATGAGAAACGATTCGTCGATATTATTCGCGGGACTAGTTTGGGATTTTGGTGCGAAATTAGCGAGACGGCGAAACCGTTCAAGGACGATCAAGCGGGAAATCGCGCGACTGCGACGAACGGTGTGTGTCTCACAGACTCGGCCCGGTGCCACGATAACGCGGCTTTCCTCGAAATCAAAAGCATCTCCTGTGACGCGACATACCGATGCTTCCTTTGGCGATCCGGTGATATTCGGATAAGTGGAGAGGCAAGCTCCCCGTCGGATCCGCCACGGGACTCTCCTCTCGGTAGGTGTTTCGAAGCGTATGATGAGCGTCGAACAGCCGTGTCTGTCAACAATCTCGTCGCGACCGCCCCAGCATTCGTAGAGACCTTTCAATTTCCTAAAGAGATCACTCGGCATTCGAATAGAAATCCAATCGTTTTACCATTGCAGAGGACCGCCGTCAAGATGAGTTTCTTTTTTTTTCTTTTCTCTTCTTTTCTTTTCTTTTCTTTTCTTTTCTTTCTTTTCTTCTGTTAATCATATTTAACACGTTCACTGCTCGTAGGATTTTATTTACCTATGTTATATGCTAACGAATAATTTCATACAAAATTTGTGCAACCAGCGCGAAAAGAATAACGGCAAATTCAAAGGACACCACGGACAATTTTATTTCAGGTCTTAACTTACATGCCGAAACCGCATGCAAACGTTTGCAATCAGCGCTGAGATTTCGTATTGCCGCGCTTAAATGCTAATTCGAGTCACACGCGTATCGCAAAAGTTCGTGCCGACTCGGATTCGAGATACGTGTAGCGAACGTCGTTAATGCGAATTTGTTCTTTTCTGTTGGATTGAGTTTGCTCTGGTTGATTGAGTAATACTTTCAAACGGGATTTTTTCGGTTATTCGTTCACGCGAGATTTCACGCGATTAATTTCTAGTCAAAAAGTGCTTTCGATCCATCTGCGAAAATTCCTCAGCCGCTTTCCCACGGAAAGCTAACAACTCACCCCGCGAAGAATCCATCGAGAAGCGGTGTCAAAGGATGCCGAGGCGGCGATGACGTTCCCGAACGAACGAAATAGCAAAAGACATATTAGCATTTTTCTTTCCCAGTTCGCGGCGAGCCGGGCCAGAACCGGCTTGTGTTTGCCACTACTATTTCCATAAAGTAAACAACGAGCGAAAAATCCCGTCAGCTTTTCTGTCCCGTCATCGTACTTGGCGCCGTACTCTTTTTTTCCATTTCCCTGCCCGAGCGGAATAAATTGCACGACAAAGCGCGCTATCTCTTTCTTCTTTCTCCCGTTGTTCTTTTATTTTCTTTTTTTCTACGCAAAGTACACGCGCAGAGTGCAAGTGAATGACTGCTCGCTATACTCTCCCCCATTTCACAGATTTGACCCATTCGCTAATTAATTAATTACCCGTAACCAATCGTGCTCCTCCTAAAACATACGCTTTTGTGTTTTTTTTTGTCCTGTATGTACATATGTAGATAATATACACACGCATTCGGCATACTATTAAGTTAATCTCGTCCTTGTTCGCTGCCTACCGAGATTTTCCAAATTTCTATTAATAATTCAGACTTGTACCGACACTTCGATCGCATTTTCTTGTTTTCTTTTTTTTTTTTTATTCAGCTAAAGGATATAGTAATAGCCAGAGAGAAACGTAGTAATTCTAAATTACAATTCTAAATTGAAGAACCCCCTCACTCTCTCTGTATTCGCTCACATTTCGTAGATAGATGTGAGAGAATAATTATTATTTCAAAAATCATTATCGTGTGTGAATATCGCTAATCACGTGAGGAATAATTATTATCGGCGAAAAATTTGACACGAAATTGATTGAAAATAGCTTGATGAGAGATTGAAATTCTCGGGTAATCCCAGTAGACAGTGAACGCTGTCGCAGCATAAGGTAGCGCGTAAGTTATCATTTATTCGCAGTTCGCAGTCTGTAAATAAATATATCTAAAAATAGTGAGTGAGAGAGAGAGAGAGAGAGAGAGAGAGAGAGAGAGAGAGAGAGAGTGTGTGTGTGTACATGTGTGCGAAAGAGACAGAATGCAAGGGAAGGAAAAGGAAAGAAAGATTGCACGCGGGAGTATAACAAAGAGACAGAAAAGTCGAGGTAACGAGATGAATCGCTATTTTATTGTTTCTCCGCCGAGGAGAGAATACTCTTATTTATTCGCGTCTTCCTTATTTTTCTCTTCTTACGACGAATAGACGAGATCGCGAGTATCCGCTAATCGCAAACACCAAATGCTATTTTATTTGATCTAATCGCGGCGTACAACGTGTCATCGTGTCGCGAGCGACACGCACTGAGGAATGGAGATTATTATTGAGACCGTGTAGTCGCATCTTCATCGAGCGAATTGGTGGCGCTTACATTCATCTCTAATGTCGACTTTCCACTCCTGGGGTATCTCGCGCGCGCAGATGTCTTGAATATTCCGTTAGCTGCGACATTGCCTTGTAGATTGTTATCTCGGGTGTCGGAGGAGAGAAAGGATTTCCCTTACGGGAGAGAGAGGTCCTCGGGACGAAACAGGGTAAGGGGAGAGGAATGTGATGTGGAGGGAAAAGGAGAAAGAGAGAGAGAGAGAGAGAGAGAGAGAGAGAGAGAGAGAGAGAGAGAGAGAGAGAGGGAGGGAGGGATGATGTGGAAAATAATAAATACCTTTGACCTGTATGTATGTGTGTGTATGTGGCAGAACAGACTACGGCGTTACTTTTATTTTACATCTTCCACACTCGTCGCGTATACTCCGTTGATCCTCGCAGAAATAATTATGCCCAAAGCTGCATCGAGATATTTATTCGACACACTCGCAGGTATCGCATTGCGCGTATTACGATAAAGTATATTAACGACTCATGAAAGACAGAATCGCTTCTTTTTTTTTTTTTTTCTAGGAAAATATCTCTCTCAACGAAGATATCGTGCGAGAAGTGAATACACACACACACACACACACACATACACGATAACAATAGTTCTATCACTATGATACATACACGTTTTTGTGCTCATTGTTCTACGACAGAATCGAGTATCATTTTTCTTTTTTCTTTTTCTGTTTTTCCGAAGAAAATCCATGTCGGGGTGTTTTTAATTTATATAGAAGCAGTATTGCGCGTCACAGAACACAGAGAGTCGGTCTTTAGAAGCTCAAACTTAAGCCAATCTCATTAGGGGTCGTACGTTTTATTAAATTACGTTAGATGTAAGGATCGATCGAAATCGGCTGTCGATTGTGTAAATCACGGAACGAGCCTACTTAGCTTCCAGCCGCTCGGTCTCACGTTCTCATAGAGTACACGGGAATATTTTTACCCGAGTCTTTTCTCTTTAGTTTTTTTTTTACATTCGAGCAACAAGCACATTTACTTTTTATATTCATCGCAATTTATGAGCAGTTTTTGCGTTTCAGTTCTATGCGACCAGCGCTGAGGCCAACATCGTTTTTATTTCCTCGCGTTTACACACAACCGTGGTGCACAAAAACAAAAGGCAGCTCCCGAGCGATTGTACGATTTTTCTTCTTTTTTCCACCTTCCGCGGAAGTGTCGCACACTCTTCTTTAAATTTCATCGTTATTTTCCGCCATTACTCTCGAGACTCGCGCTCGCTAAGCTTTAGTCGTGATCTATGCTTAGAAGAAGAGAAACTATACTTAAAACAATTTTGTACGAAACGAACGCTGCGATTCGACCAAAGCTAAAGAATTAATTTTTACGAATAGTACGTTAATCGTAACGACTCTTGCACAAATTATGCACTCGCACGCAACCCGCGCATACGAGAAAGAGAGAGAACGAGAGAGAGAAAGCGAGAGAGAGAGGGAGGGGGAGAGAAAAGGAAGGTTAGAAGCATTGAAGAAGCGAATGAATGAAAGGAGAACGCGTCGCAAGGACGATTATTATTAATGAACATCAAATGGGTTCTCTCCGGTTCTCATTCGTGTGTTTTAGCGGACAAGCCCAACGTTGCACAACTAACTAAGGAAACGAATTGCCGAAAGAGCGAGACAGTGAGTGTGGATGCATGAGCGCGTGTGTGTCATGTAAGCGGGCGATTCGTGTGATAGAGAGAAAGTATGTGTGTGTGTGTGTGTGTGTGTGTGTGTGTGTGTGTGCGTGTGACGGTGTATGCGTGTGTGAGAGTGCACGTGAGAGCTAGAAAGAATGAGAAGAGAGACGACGAAGCGCAAGTAGCTATAAGAGATCACGATGTACGATCGAACTGTAATCGAGTAAAGTTGATGTTATTTAAAGTAATAACACGCAAAACATTATCCACATCCGCACGCACACAAGCCCTATCACAGTATCATCTCCATGGTTTCTCTTTGACGTTTCCTTTTGGCTGTCAGCCGGGTGGATTGGAAGGCGGTAAGTAGCAGCGCCGAGCATGCGTCGGCAGTTTTCTTTTTATCTTTTTTAAGGAACCAACTGCAGGGCCAAAAAATTCCAGTTGAAGAGTCCAGATAAATTTCGATGTCTTCTTCGTAGCGTAAGAAAGAACGCCTCGCCGCGATGCGAAGGCGCAACGTGACCGCACCACGTGCCGTAAGAAAAGCGAAAATAGAGGAGCGAAAGACGAGAAAATCTCCGACGGGAAACAAAAGGCGAGGATAATTGATCGAGCTTATCTGTTGACGCTCTTAACCGGCCTGAACGAATCTCTCGTCGGTCGGAGAAACGATTACAGCCGGCCTAGTGAAAATTCCTCCGGGGGATTATTTTTCTAAGGTCACAGGGGCACGGTTGAAAGCGAGAGAGAGAGAGTGAGAGGGGAGGGGGGAGGGGGGAAAGCGTTCTCGTAACCGAAAGGCGCAAGAGTTCGATGTGAAAAAGGCAAGTGTGTGGATCGCTTTCCCCTCGCTGTTGGCGCAGCGCGCTAACAAGTAGCCATTGTGAGTCCCGTGTCAAGATGCTACTTGACAGTACACTCTCCCGGCGGACCCTCTTCAGGGCCCGCTCGTTCGCTCGCCCCCGTTCCGGCACGCAGCTACGGCAAGCGACGCGCGAAACGCACGGGCGTGCGTTACTACGGTATCTCCGTGGGGTCGGTGCTTAACTTTACGATCTCCGAAAAATCCCTTCGGGAGAGCTTCAGGGCCCCGTCGCGCGGCTAATAGAACCGAAATTATAACAGGCCGATGAGCATGCGTCGACTGCTCTTATTCCGCCTCGCTGACGGATTCAGAAAAATCGTGAGGGAAGCGGAGCCAGAGAGACGATCCGACGCAGGGAAACCCTGAAGAACCTCGTCTTCGCGACGAGCTGTTTTTTATTTACGATTCCTATGCAGGCGGTGATTCGATCGTAAGAAAGTACAAATTATCGAGGTAACGTTTTCGATCAGTCGGCGGATCTCTCGAGAAATATACGCTCCTCCGTTTTCTCTTTTCCTTTACGTCGCTGCGACGTTATTCCGTTTGACATATCTTTTTCATAAATTTCTCATTAGATTAGAATTTCTACGCGCGACATCGACCGTCCGTTTACTTCGTATATTTTGTCATTTTTTATCGGCAAGGAGAGAACGCGGCAACGTAAATTACGGCACAACTCGAAGATTGGGAATATTAAGCAGAATCGGGAGCGATCGGATCGGTAAAAAATCGATTGGAATGAAATGTCAACGCGTTGCAGCTACGCTTCGCTTCGCTTAACGTTCGATCCAACTTGAAGCTGTGATCGTCGTGATAAGGACAGAATGGAGGACAAAGAGCCTCCGGTCACGTGGAGAAGCCAGATGCTCTCTTTCAGGATCGAAGAGGATGCCGGGATATTATCCGAACTGCACTGGTAAATATCGGCACAAAGAGGGCGCTCGATCTTATCTGTCATCGCGATCGCTGATAGACCTAATAGCGAGCGGAACGATCGTTTTGAAATAATTACCAGCCGGTATCCGGCACCGATCTTTCCGGGTTCGCTCGGACGGATCGCAGGATCAAAGGACGATGCTCTTTTCCCGCCGCTCTCTTCCTTCCTCGCGAAGTATACCGAGCTGTTAAAAAAAAAAGAATCAATAACATTGTAACGTTAACATCGCACTTTTTTCACATAAATAAAGAGATACATTTGAAGAGTATTGACATACACATTGCTGAGAAATAATTCTGAATAAGATATTAAGTCTGAAGGTACGGAAGATTTTCTAAATTAGTTCGCAAAAACACAGAACGTCTGCTTTCGAGTTACACATCCCGATCTGCAAAGAATAATTCGTGAAAAGACGCGAATCCTGCGATCCAAGTGTACATTGCGTTTTTCCTTCGTTTTCTTTCTTTTCTTTTTCACCTTCTGGCGCATCGCCGTTACCGCGCACGGCGAATAATAAGTTTGATACCGTTACAATGCGATCATTACGCGCCGGTAATGACGGTGCATTCAGGCACGAAGCGAACTACAGCACACCACCGGCCTTTCTTCGCATCTGCCCAATTGCAACAATGGACGTGCGATGCGCCGCCACCCCACGAAGTCTCGTGCAATATGCAGCGATACTCTTTCTCTCCCGAGGAACGGCGGCGTTCGGCTTGTATAAAGGAAAGATAAAAAGCTGTTCTTCTGTATTTTTCTAACAATTACGCCCCTCCCATCGCTGTTGCCGCACGATAAAATTATTGTCGCGTATTCTCGCGGAAACTCGTGGAAAACCATCGAAAGAGAGAGAGAGAGAGAGATATTACGAATGCCTTACTAAAAAATATGACACGAGAATGAGTAATAATGACCAGATAAAAAAGATACTCGAATAAAATTACGCGAAATAATCCGAGTCGAAATGTTGACTCTTGGCGCGACGAATACTTAATGCCATTTTCTCCTTGCAGAAAATTTTGGGAAATACAGAGATGTTGTGGCACGAGAGTCGTTACATCGCGATTGTCATCACATGCCGATGTCACAAATTATCGCCGCATGTCGATCGCAACCGTCCAAATAATTTATCGCCAATTTGAGATATTTTTCACGCGAGTCTCGCTCCGTTGATCACGAAAACGCGACTTCTCCCTTCCACACAACTCCATAAATTTTTCTCGCATGACAGACGAAGCTAACTTCCACGGTACCTCGCGGCACCAAACGCCGTCGCCCGACTTTTCCGTGCGTGCACACCGCGGCTCCACCTCGTGCCCGATCGGGATTAAGGCGAATTTAAAGATCATTGACGCGCGTATAAATCCATTAATACGGCATTTACGCGAGCACGGCCGGTGCAAATTACGACGTTGGTAACGCTTAGGCGAGCTTAGACGAGCGCGCGGAGGAGCGGAGGAGGCGATTTCGAAGGGGGGAATATTTATGGGCAGACCGGCTGAAATTAATTTATGCAGCCGCATAGGCTGCCACGTAATTTATTCGCGGGACTCGCGACGATCACTCACTCTCCTCGCGGGCTTTTGTGTGTAAGGAAATCCTGGGCCATTAGAAACGAGCACGAAGGGCCGCCGCGTCGATCCCTCTTCGGCCTCTCTTCCGAGTGCTGCCTGATCGAGCTCGTTGTTTCGCGAGCACGATTCCGCCGAGATCGGCCGGCGATCCCGCGGAAAACGAACAACTGCTCCTCCCCCTTCCTCCCGCTCGGATCGCGCGAGAGGCGAAGAGTATCCCCAAAAGGATGTCGCGTCTTAATATCGCTTTGCGACAATTACACACACGCGTCGAGAGAAAGATACCATCGATTTTCTTGCCATCCATATTAGTATATCGCCTCAACTCAATATTCAAAAATAATATAATATCCTACAACTTTTGCGATAGAGACGTAAGAGGTGTGAGGTGGAAACCAGATTGCTGAGGCAGATAACCCTCCGCCATCTGCCATCGTTTTACGAGAGCGGCGGATCCTGGCAATTTTCGAAGGCCCGAGCGAGAGAGTGCGTCCGTCCATTTCCGCGGCTGTTTTCAAAATTGAGTCAGCACACGGCGCGTCGTGACGCGGGTCGCTCGCTTGTACACGACGACGACGACGACGACGACGTCCGGCGCGTTTCCATCACGGGGGCGAGATCCAGGAAGGATCCGCGCAAGAGCGCGGCTGAAACAAGAGGGATCGTTCTCCCGGGGAAGAGCTGCGAGGATCTCGCGGCGAGATCTGCGGCTGTGCACCCGCGTTATGATTTGTGGCCGTCCAGATCGTGATCCTGTCCGGCCGGCTGGTGGAGAGAAGGAGAGATAGAGAGAGAGAGAGAGAGAGAAAGGGAGGGCACCCACGCTTTCCAGGAACCGTCCGCGTGGCGTTCGCCACGGCGCGAGCGTGGAGGAACGTAAGTCCCCGACGACGAGACGAGAGAGATCAGCCGGCCCCGATTACGCCGAGGGTGTAATGGACAGACTAATTTGTGAAATTTAAATTCCGTCCCCGACGTTTTGCCGCGAGGCCGAGGCGAAGCGAGCCGCTGCCGCGGGGGAAAGAATGGTAAGAAGGAAGGACGGGGGAACGTGGCGGAGGGGGGAACGAGATAAATCGCAAAGTCGTCCCCCACGGGGACGACGGTCCACGACGGATCTTTCTGGAAAATCGTAGGTGGCTAGGTGGCTACGTGTCGCGACGTTTCATGGGTGGCGTGGACGGACGCGCGTATCGCGAGGATAATTCGCGGCCGAGATTAGGATCGGCTCGATAACGAGGGCTCGCTCGCCCTCACCCGAGCGCTCGATGTTATTTCCCATTATTTAGAGAGATTCCAGATTAACGGCCGGCATAAAGTACGCCGCGGCGACGCGGACACGCGCGCGCGCGCTTCTCAAACGCGGAGATTCTCCAAGTCGCGTGGGCAAATCAGAACTCGGAAGATCGCAAGAGGAACATCGCGCTCGTCTGGCAGGAGGCAAGAATTCCGTCATTGGAGTTGCGTTACCCCCCCCCCCTCGCCCCCCTCCCTTCGTGCGATGTAACGATACTTAGCTCCCGAGCACGTGCAATTGCTCCGGGAATTACGCGGATATCTCCGTCGGCGCGCGACAAAGCCTCGCGCGCACGAAGATGAAGAGAGACAAAGGCGCGGGGAGGGTGGGGGAGGGGGGGACGGCAGGGGCCACGGGGAGAGGAACAGTGAGCAAGATGTCTAAGCGGTGGCGGATTAGAGGCAGCTTCTCGCTGTATATGCGCGGCGAGAGAACGGGCCCTATTGTCGGGCCGCATAATACGGTTATGATTTAGTTTAGGACGTGAGGATGCGAGAGCGAACGAATGAACGAACGGACCGAGGGGGCCTGGCTGGGTGGAGGGCAACGAAGGGGGCCTGGGGAGGGCCATT